TGTCAGGACAACAAATATTCAACTGTTATTTATCTGGGCCATCTTCCAACTGCCAATAACTATAACTCTTCTGAATGTTTCCTCAAGCTGTCTGCTCTGCCCACCTAGGGCAGGCTGGAGGTGCTGGTGAGTTCATTTTCCCTCAACAGATGCCAGGGGTAGTGGAGAAATATCACAGTTCCCATGCCTCTGGGCAGTATACCTGTGACATATATGTTCTGCTCTGGTTCTCAGAGTTCTCCAGCTGCCTTGAGCCTCATTTGTCCACAATAGCGACTTGCTTGATAATACACCATTCGTGGGGTTCCTTCCAATCTCTGACTCACTTCTGTACTCCCCTACTGGAATTTCCTGAGATCTCTTCCCAAATAACAGCTTCTAAGGAAACCTCAACTAAGACAGTAATCCTCTGAAATAAGCATTATATCTGTTTTTAAGGATTAAAAAAATGAGGAATAAAGAAGCTTGGCAACTTGCTCATGATCACAGAGCTATTAAATGAAGGAGCTAGGATAAAATGGAAGTGTGCAAAGCCAGTTCTCTGAGTGAATCACTTTGCACATGGCTTCTCAGTAATTGGGCAGAACCATTTCTCATTAACTGTTCACCTCGGTGTATACCAAACCAAGAAGCTCCACCAAAGAAATACTATTAGTAAAGAGTTACAGGAAAGACTTGCAATCTATTTGTTCGAATGCTTTAAAATCTACTCATTAAATCAAAGTAGCCAATAACTCAGTACATGAAATCTGCTACATCTTCCCCCAACCATACTAAGAATTGCGTTAATTGAATTTCACTGTATTGTGGCGCCATTTACCTACAACATCAGATGACATAGAGATATTCTAAGGAATTCATCAGGATGTGTTGGTGGGGATGTTATCAAAGGCTTTCTTGTTACATTGCAGTCTTTTTTGTGCAATCTTCGGAAGAAGTTTCTTTCAGTTGTTACTATCAGAAAGAATGGTAGCCTCTTTTGAGTCATTAGTTAGTTTTTATCCTGTGGAGAGTGATTATATCACTTCATTTTTCCTTCATACACTGGCTGCTAGGAAAACGTTTTGGCTTATTGAGAACAAGTGACATTACCATGCTATATCTTATCTCTTACTTCCGGTTATGACCCTAGTCTTTTTTGAACATTCTAAGAAATTACTTCTAATGACTTTCCTTTTGTGTTTTATATTTTCAAGATACCTTTAGAAAGATTTTTTTTGTGACAGATAGGGAATATAAATACACATATTTGCCAAAAAGAATAATAGTTTGCAATATTTCCAAGCTTTTGATTGCTGGAGAAATATCCTACTGGTGGCATGGTAAGCCTATAAAATTGGACTGTAGTTCTTGACTTGTCTTGGACTTCTCCTTCCATATCGCAGATTAGGAACAGAAGTTTGCAGGCAAACGGATGTACAAACTGTAACAACAACAGGAACAGGGAAAGCCCTTGAAAGAGCTTTCACTTGAACATTATGTAAGGCAAGGTGTAGAGAAAATTATGTTTCAAGGGGCCATTCATATCTTAATGCACGCCAACCTCAAAAGATTAATGAGGGCCGAACCCGTGGCACACTCGGGAGAGTGCAGCGCTGGGAGCACAGTGGCTCTCCCGCCACGGGTTCAGATCCTATATAGGGATGGCCGGTAAGCTCACTGGCTGAGCGTGGTGCGGGGAACACCAAGCCAAGGGTTAAGATCCCCTTATCGGTCACAAAAAGAAGACAAAAAACAAAAAAAGATTAATGAGATAGAATGGAATGGCTACAGAAGTGATGGCCTAAACACCCTGAGAATAGTAAAGATGTCTCTAAAGTAAACCGTTAATGAGTCCCATGAGGAGCAAGATGCTACAGAGAAGCTTTCAAATAGCTTGGGAAACTAGGATTTGTTACAATCTGCTGTGTATCACACTGAGCTCTATAAACATGAGTGTACCTAACCTTTTTAAAAATTTTTGTGACATATAATAATTGTACATATTTATGAGGTACAGTGTGGTATTTCAATACATGTATACAATGTGTAATGATCAAATCAGCGTAGCTGGCATATCCGTCCCCTCAAACATTTATCATTTCCTTGTGTTGTGAACATTCAGAATCCTCTCTTCTAGCTATTTGAAAATATACAGTAAACTATTGTTAACTATAGTCACCCTGCTGTGCTATCAAACACTAGATCTTCCTCCCATCTAACTGTAGTTTTGTACCCTTTAGCCAACCTTTCCTTATATCCGCCTCTCCCACCAAAACAATTCTTGGAAATCAATATTGTCGCTTTTCAGATGTGGAACCTCAGACTTAGAAATTCTCTAAAGCCATACAATGTGTAAGTGGTAGAACAGGGTCTTGAATTAATCATGTCTGACTGTCTTCTTACATACCAGCTGACTGTCATTCTAAGTTATCTGCTCAAATATGGTACTTTTAAAGCCCAATAATAAGGTTTAAACAATGGTACTTGCCCCTCTCTTGGCTTCGTCTTCTTGGATCTCAGGGGAAGAGTTCTCCCTTCATCATATCAAAAGTACTCTGAAAATGCCCTTAATTCCACTCGTTTCACATTTTCTCAGCTTTTCTGGTCTCTCCTTTCTCTTTTTTACTCTGCCATCAGACATTGGCTTTGCCTGATTCACACATACTTGGGCTTCTTGTCTTGCCCTTGTTTGGCTGGACATGTGCCCTTGCTCACTCCTGGTATCCATGGACTCAATTCTCACAATCCTCACTCACCAGTACTTATGTTCCCTACCTGAGACCCCATCTCTCAAGTTTACACTCTACTCACTTGGGAATAAAGGTAGAGAAAGGGAGGGTAAACATGAATGGGGGAAAAGGATCTGGGCTGAAACATTAGAAATCATAAAATAATGTGCTCATATTACAAATTTAAGGACACATCTTCATTAGATGTTGATACTCTTGCTTATATAACCATGTTCCAAACCTGCTAATAATTTGTGTGCTTGTTCATGCCAGGTGTTACCTTAAGTCATCGCTTTATTCCTTCTTAAATGAGTATTTCCATTTTGGCATACATGTTGATAAAGCAACAGTTAAATATACAATCACCGACTATTTGAGCATCTGTTTTGTGCTGAAAACTGTTGTATGCACATTTCAAAGCTATCTCACTTTTGGAGAGTGTAAATATACACACACACATACATACATACAATGAGTTTGCTTTTGTATGATATTCTATATGTGAAATCTCAGTATATGCTTGAACGTTGCATAAATGAATGAAGTAGTAATTAATTCATACAAAGCAGCCGTCTTGTTTGTTTTTATTACTGTATTGTTACACAATGTAATCTATTTTTGATTACTTTTCTACTAAAATAGCTATAGTCTAGTGATTATTCACTCTTTTGACTTAATCCAAATTTAAATGCAATATTAGTGATCTGATTCAAATGTTTAAATAAAAATGGATTTTGCTTTAGGCATCAATAGTTTAACAAAGAGTAAAATAAAGTAACACTAGGGATAATGATGTGAATGCCAATTAATATATTAATTTTACAAAAATCAACTTCTATTTTGAGGGTTGATCAATATAAACAAAGTACTATGATGACATCTTGTTGACTTAGGTTTAATTATGACCATGGCGTTCACCAGCTGGAAAGTAATAAAGCACACAATATAGCACAAATATGATGAATTATTCACACTTATGGGACATGGAGAGAAAACACCCAGTGCATTTCATTTCACGTGGTTGCCGGGTGTCAGGATGGCCGAATGGTCTAAGGCGCCAGACTCATTTCACGTGGTAGAATTAGTTTATGAAAATCTTGTCCCTGGAGGCCCTTTGAATCTTATCTAAACTACACCTGGAGTTGAATAAATATTTATGTTAAATATGTAATAATTATTGCAAATTGCCAATCAGGGCGAGCATGGCTTTATATATCAGAGGAGAAATAAATAGGTGTAAGAACTCCCATACCCTCAAAATTTCTCCCAAATTCAGACATTCAACATTTTAAACATTTGAATTAAGGAATAAACAGTATTGGGAGATTTTGAGATTTATGGGCAGGGAAGTTGGAGTAAGAAATATATTAAAGTCTTCTTATACTTTAGTTTAATTAGATTACTTTTCTTAGTTTACTTTGCATACAACAAATAGCTAACATTTTTGTACTAAGGAAAAGTAGACGTAGAATGATTATAATCACTCTTCACATGAATATTCTGAGACTTTACTTGCTTACAATACTTTAATTAATTTTAGATATTGTTTAGGTAGCTTAGTATCCTTTTACCTGATTTTTGATTAATAACTCCCACTGGGAGCAGATCAAAATTCAGAATCCTAGGTCCATACTCAGTTATTCTGATTCTCTAGGTCTGGGATAAGGCCCTACCATTACAAAGTATTTTAAGGCAGGCTGGCAGAAGACTACACTTTTAGAAATATTGATCTCTACACAATGGTCTCAGAACATTTTTCTTTTTATCACACATCTCTATTACTAAGTTTTTTTTAGGGTTCCCTTCAATGTATATATATTTGCATTTGAAATGTATACATGTAGCACTATCAAGTCATATATTTAATATCAATAGAACTTACTCCTCTTTTAGAGAATTAATAAAGATATGTTTGTATTTATTGGTTTAAACTCGTTAACATTTCATAAATGTGTATTTATGGATATGTATATATTAAGCCCTGAAATCCATTTTTAGTTGGTGGGCTCAAACAGGCTTTCAGCAATATATATTATTTGAGTAGTTTAAATTAAAATTCCAAAAATTTATGAGTTTATTTTATATTTTTAATATTATATAGAAAACCATTTATAGTGCTAGATATGTTCTCCAAAAATGCCATTTAAATTTTATTTTAAAATATACTTTGAAAAACATTCATCTGTGAAGTTCTCCATTAGAGGAGAATTTTATTCTATTTCCATTTCCATTGATGTTTTTCTTCTTGAATGTGACATGCAGGTGTAATATCTCTTTATTTTTAATTAGATCGAGAAGAGCCCAGGGATCTTGTCATTGACCATTCCTGGAATAGCTTCATCAAAGAGAATTCTGCCTTTGGGTTTAGTCCTGTGAGTCACATGCAAGGTACAGGATTTCTACCTTATATTCTGTCATTTTATATGCTGCCACATTTCAGACATAATGAAATATATGTTTACTGTCTTAATAAATATTTAATACGAATTGAAAATATAATTTTAAAATTTTGAAACAAATTTTAGTGAGTTAATAGAAAAATATGGAGAGTATAACCTTTATGTATGCTCATTACATTTGCATTATTTTTTATTCCATAGCACATAAGTAAGACTTGTCAAATATTTTGTCTTTGAAATTTTGAATGGTTGAATATCATACCACTTACTACATGAGTGTGCAAATCAAAGAAGATTTCAGAAAATTACAAATAGTCTGCTATAACAACTAATACTTATGAAAAATACTTACATCTTTGCAAAGTTAATGATTTCTTGCAAATTTATTACAGGGCATGTCTTCTTATTCTATATATTAACCACTCCACCTGCATATTGATAAATAAGAAAAAAATCTAAAAAATAACAAAGTTACCTAAAAATATAAAGTCCCAAAATTATGAATTTGCTTATAAATAATAATATTTTTAAATTACAAAAAATAATTTTGACAGTAAAATGCGAATTATCTTAAGAAAATTAATGCAAAAATACTAATTGAAATCAATAACCACTACTAACATTCTAATAAAAATGGGTTAATGAATTTCTTTTATATTTACTGTAGTTATTTATATAGGTATCTTAAATCTCATTAATTCATCTCATTTAATAAAACAGTTCAATGATATAGGTGTTGTTACTATTCTCACTGAGTTGCAGAAATTACAATTCAGAAAATTAACTTATGCAGAACCAAAACAGTTGTATAATGGCAGAGCTGAACCTCCCTCCTTGTGTCTAACTTTAGAGTTTTGCTTTCTGTTTCTTTGCAATACATTAAAAGGAGTATGAACAACAGTTCACACAAGAGGAAATACAGGTGGCCAAAGAATGGTTGAAAATACATTCAATGACACTAATAATGAAATAGATGTTGATTTAGATAATAGCCACCTAAGTTTTCTTTTCCTTTTCTTTCTTTGGTTTTGTATTTTAATGAAAGTACCACAGCTAATGTTTCCATGGTGAAACTGGAACAATCAGTGATTGTGGGAGAAGAAATCACAGCATGGTTTCTAGAAAGCACTTTATGTAATGTACACAAATAAATTTGAAATTATCATCCTTTTGACCCAGAAACTCCAATTCTGTTGAGATCTTTTAAAGAAATAATCAAAATATGGTTAATGTATGATTCTGCATTATTTGTATTACCAAAAAATTGAAAACAACCTTAATTCCAAATAATAACTTTGTTATATTTGTAGCAACTATTTATGTCTGTTTATACTTAATTTTACTTATCCATTAAATATATGAACCATTTTCTCTTTCTTAAATTTTATCCATTGATTCTACACTTTCAATGACCTTTGGCATTATGAAATTAGTTGAAAATTCATCTTTGCTTTTTTTCTTCTTCTCCTTCATTTTTAATGGGGAAGGAGTTACAGGTAGTAGGTAACTTTTTTATTTCCTCCCTTAGTTTATCCATATTCTGCTTTTTCCCTATGCAATTACAATCTAATTTTATTCCCCCCTCATTTACTTAGCTTATTCTCCATTTTTGGTTGAATTAATGACAATCATTCTGTTGTTATTTATTTTTGCAATGTGACATCTTATATTTGTATCATAAATATTCTGTTCCATGTGTCTGTATTTCAAGTCTCATGCCAATGCCATACAGTTTAAATCCGATGGCTTTGTTATTTTATTATACTTGTTTATTTCCACTTTCAGTTAAATCATTTACTTCCTCTCACCACTTTTTATTTCTCTGGAAAAAAATTAGAATAACTTATCATCGAGTTCCAAAATAATCCCAATAATCGCTCAAATGCAATTACAGTAAACCCATCGACAAATTTGCAGAGAATTAAATATTTATAATATTTACTCTTCTTGCTCAGGACCATTCATTTCCTCAATATTCTGAAGCACAGTATTTGTAAATGCCAATAAAGTTCATGCTTCCAGTAGCAGGACTTTTATTTTAAATAATCCAATTACTAATCATATATAATGCAATTTCTATGCAACATGGAGACCAAAATTTTGTCTCAATTTTAAGTCTTCTAACTTGGAAAATAGAAATTAAATGTACTTTCTTAATTATAATTTATATTATTTTTATTGTCTCCAAGTAGTTTACAAATTTAAACCAGTTCTCTGCTGGATACTTGATTTCTTTAATTTCTTCAGTGACTTGGTTTTTAAGATAAAAAATGCATACCCTGCCTGCAGTGGGATTGACAGTTCAAGATGTGCTCCCTGCTGCTCTGTATAATAAAATCTCCAAGGGAGTTAGTTAATTTTCTAGAAATTCCTTGTTTGCTCTGTTATTCTTACATGCTGTAATATTTGTCCCTTGGGGGCTTTACCGCTAATTTGGGGAGCACAAGCATTAAAAGTACAACAGAAATGGAAGCTTGGCTTCATAAACTACTATTGCCCTCTTTAGAGACATTGGGGTACCATTGGCCATATTGTAAAAATTACCTCTAGGGATATTAATAAAAATAAATTTTTAACTATAAAAAAAATTAACCTTAAAACTAAATTTTCCTACATCAACATGGAATTTTTCCTTGGCAAATATTTGGGAACTGAAAATATTATCTTATTCTCAACCAGTGTTTACCTAAGTGTGTTATAAAAAGACAAAAACAAAAACAGACAAACAAAAACCAACTAAGATCTATGCTCAAATAAATTTGGGAAACACTGGGCTCAACAGAAGTTTCTTTATGCATCTGGCCAAGAAGTATACTTTTGAAAATGCTACTTTCTGATGAACTGATTCAGGAAGGTTCTCAACTTGTACCCTCTCACTTGCCATGTGATGTGACAATGCATTCCATTACATTCAATTAAGTACTAGGCATTAAAGGGAAACGCACGACAGCCGATAAGACTTGTAAGTATAAGCGGATAAGTATATGTTCCTCAGGTATAAATGCTGCTACTTCGTTCTGTTGTAGTAGCTATGCTATTCACCATCCCATTCTCAACCTCATTTTACCAAAATTTTGGTCTATACGTGACAAAAGATCACAGATAAAAATAATTTCTATAACCATTCTTCATATTGATTTCTTTCAGAAATTTTAAGTTCCTTTGTGCTTAATGAACTTCTTTAATAAGATTGGATTTATATGTAGTTAGATATTGACCTAGTCTAGAACTCTAGCAATTGACATTATGTTTTTCGCATTGGAAAACGCATTTGCATACACTTTATTGCTCTAAGGAAATATACTTTTCTAGAAATTTTCTTCCTTAGAATGAGTTTCATATTATGCTCTACATAGATAAATATTTCTTTTTGTTTTTAGCAAGTTCACTGATCCTACTGTTATCTTTCAAAACTGGTGACAAGAAGTAGACAGGAAGGAAAGAAGATCTTGCTGTCAGTGAAGAACCTTAACCTATTAGATCTTCTCTTTAAAACTTAATATTGTCTACATATTTAATTAGGTTGAGTAACAAGAATAAGACAAGAATGTAGGTGAATTGTGATCTAAGAGGACATCCTTCTGCAAAACTATAAATTTATAAAACACGGAGTGTTCATTTTCTCTTTTGCTAGGTTGGAATCAAATGCCACAGAAGCAAAATCAAGATTAAACCCTTGAGGGAAAAAAATCTTAGTTGTACCATCTTCCTGTTTCCTCCAGCTGAAATGCTTAAAAGGGGAGGTGGGGAGAAGGTTAGCATTATTACATGGTATACTGTACACTAGAGAATAAGGTGCTACTTTGCAAATAAAATTATACCTAGAATTTTAGGAAGGTGTCCTGTGTACTGAACATTAGGCTTGTAGTCAAAAAAATCTGTGTTCTGGTTTTGACTGTAACATGGATAAGCTATGTTAGCTTGGGCTAGTTTCCATATTCTCTGAACCCCATTTTAGATATTTTTAAAAAATGAAAATGAGTTTTAACTAATAGGATTTTTTGATGAGAAAATACAATTGTATATGTGAAGAAATTTCTAAACAGTGAAATTATCTACAAGTATAGGTTATTATTATTAGTTATATAATTGAAAATAAGTTAACTCCAAGACCAACTCCTAGTTTCCTTCAATTTTGTAAAAAACAAGATCTAGCACAACTGCTGTTACATGCCAGAAAATACATTTCTGAAAAACAAAGAACAGTAATTTTTCTTGTGAAGTCTATTTGTTTTCTAGGTGAAACAGTTACTAGACAAATGGTTTTAATTTTATAGGGACTAAATTACTAGTTCATGAAATAGTCTTGGTATCTTGGTAAAAACCACTTTTCTAGAAAATGACTTCTTATGGACGAGTAGATAATTATATCTATAGTTATATCTATATTGATATTTTTCAATTACCCAACCTTGTTGTCCCATTTAATATTCCTCACCCTTTATATATTCTACTCTTCTTCAACATTTCTATTTTTAAAATATCTCCAAAATTTAGTTATTCATATAGTACCTTCACAATTTTTGGCGTACCTTTGCATTACCTATGTAATAATTTACTTAATTTATTTAATAGCATTTTAATGAAAAACAGTGTTACTACTAAGATTTTGATTTGAATCCTCATGTAAGTGAAAGGACCTAGAATAATTATGAAAATCTTGAACATGAGAAATAATATTAGGAATTTATGTTACAACTATCAAGACTTAATCATATAGCTGTAGTCCTTAAGTCAGTATGGTATTGGTGCAGTAGCAATGTACTTTGTGCCAGAAACTTTTTAAAGCACTTTATAAATATTAATGGATTTAGTCATCAAAACAACTCTTTAAGATAGATTCTATTAGTATCTTTATGTTAGAGATGAATATACTGATGACATATGTAGGAGTTATGCTCAAGATCACACAGGCAGTGAATGCTGGAGTTTGTGTTTGAATTTAGGGCTTGGACTCTTACCCATAACACAGTACTCCTATAACTATAA